TAAAGGTGAATTGAGAGCTAAAAGGTTTTATGGAGAAAGAATATTAATTTCTGCGAGCGAAGCCGCGGGGAAAAGCTAGTTATTATATATCTATAAGAAGAACAAAATTATTGAGTTTATTTATATGTAGTATTGACAATGACTTAATCATTAAAACTTTTCTCAATATCAACCATTTTTTCTGTATTTTCACTTGATTACTGTTATGATTTACCAAGTCCTTTTCGATAGTATGTAAAATTATTAGTTATCTATTATGGGTGCTCTTCGTTATGACCGTATTTCTTTTCTTATCTAGAGGACTCGGTTAAGCTAGATCGCGTTGTAGGTATTCTGGCGCGTAATAAAATTTTATTGCTGTTTATTACCGGATTTACGTGCGACATAAAAAGGTTATTGCTATTCTGCTGCTAAATTCTGTTATTCCTCATGAGTGCACAGAGCTCCGGCTGGCAGGCATCTCTCCCTCTCACTCTCTCGCACTACCGCTCTTCTCGGCCTCTTCGGGAAGCATTAGGCCAACATTAACAAATACTCACGTGGACGGAATATAAAATAAACGGTTAAATTACTAAATGTACCATTAAAAAGACACAGAAAAAACGGACGATCACGAATACTGATTTGCAAATGCTAAAACGGAAAAGGGAACACGTTTTTGCCCCTAAAATATTTTTTACCGCACTGACGAATCTAAAGGTGTATGTTTGGAGCACGGCGTTGTACGGGTGCGAAACATAGACAGTGGGCGCAGCGGAAAAGAAAAGGTTAGAAGCTTTCGAAATGTGGTGTTATAGGCGAATGATGAGGATAACGTGGGTAAAAAAGGTTAAAAATGGAGAGGTATTGGAATGAATAGGAGAACAGAGGACTCTATGGAAGTCAATAAAAAATAGGCGAGATAGGTTGGTAGGACACCATCTTAGGCATGAAGGGCTAGTCAGAGACATATTAGAGGCAGAAACAGGAGTAAGGAGGTGTAGAGGCAGACCTAGATTAGATTACTCTTCGCAAATAGTTAAAGATGTGGGATGTTCTAGTTTTAGGGAAATGCGAAGTTTAGCTCAGGATAGGAAAGAGTGGAGGTACGTGTCTAACCAGTATTAGGACTGACGACCTTATGATGATGACTGACGAATCCTTGCAAATGTGCCTATCTCCTAATAATTGTAATACATAATAAATAATATTACGTTATTGTGATGTGTGACGTCTAGCATTTTACCCTTTCCGACCCGGTGCAATGAAGGAGGCAGGAGGGTGACCGAAATGGCAGCTAGCAGCAGATTTTGACTTTCTAATTACAAATACCGACCCTTGACGCGTTGTTTGCGTTCAGCCGTTTAATAAATCAGGCCATGAATTTGAATACAGACTTTAACGAATTATAATGGATGAATAAATAAACATACTCCGGCACATTTACACGTATTGCCGTTAAGCGTCCGTTCCCCTCTCGAAAATGGGGCTCTCTCTGCCAGCATCCCCTTGTGTCAAAACGTCCGTTTTTGTTTATGCGATGTGCCACAATCGTCAGCGTTTTGTTTACTTTTCGATAGCATCTTTTTCAACAACAATAACAGCATGACGAAAAACTCGTTGTCATCTCCTCTACGTATTATATGTATGCGTACAAATATAAACAAAAACAATTTCGGAGCAAGTTTATACCTTTTGGGGTTAATTTCGTAATTTATTTGTCACATTCCATTTTATCAAACATGGTATGCGTGATATAGCGGTCAACCCCAAGAATATTTTTGAGAAAAACTTAGAGGGACATGTTTTGTAATGTCCAGTACATTAGCATACTTTCACTAATAATTAGGTAACCTACATAAAGGACACTCAATGTCCTCGAGCTGGTGTTCTAACTTACTCAAACTCCTAACCTAACCTAACCTATATAAGAGATACACAATGTCCTAGAGCTAGTTCTACCTTAGTTAAACACCAATAAAGATCTAGAAGTTTATTTTTGGTCTATTTCATATTACAATATAAGTTGAGAAAAATTTATTTTTGGTCTATTTTATTTCAGGTTTTTTTTTTCGCGACTGTCCTATCTTTATATTACTTTTTCTTCCCTTGCATACCAGCATTTTTGTATTACTTTTATTTATTTTTATACAGTACTGTTTTGTCAATACCGCTTCCATTTTATTTAAAGCCATGTCTAACTCCTCCTAGCTAGATGTTAATACTGCTATATCATCTGCAAATCTAAGCACACTAATCTTTTCCGCCTCTATATCGATCCCTACAGCTATCTCTAAATCCTAAGTACATCCACCATCATCATAAGGTCGTCAGACCTAAGACTGGTTGGACACGCACCTCCACTTTTTTCTATCCTGAACTAAACATCGCATTTCCCTAAAACTAGAACAACCCATATCATTAACTATTTGCGAAAAGTAATCTAACCTAGGTCTACCTCTACCCCTCCTGACTCCTGCTTCTGCCTCTAATATGTCTCTGACTAGACCTTCATGCCTGAGAAGGTGTCCTACCAACCTATCTAGCCTATTTTTTATTTCTTCCATAGAGTCCTCTGTTCTCCTATTCTTTCTAATACCTCCTCATTTCTAACCTTTTCTACCCACGTTATCGTCATCATTTGCCTATAACACCACATTTCGAAGGCTTCTAACCTTTTCTTTTCGGCCGCGTCCACTGTCCATGTTTTGCACCCGTATAACGCCGCGCTCCAAACATACACCTTTAACAACCGTTTTCGAATTTCTAAATTAACCGTTCGCGAGCATACAAGTGACTTCTTTTTATTAAAAGCGACACGACTCTGCTTCATATCCCTACTACTCCTTTCGTCCTGACTTATCCGACTTCCTAGATATCTAAAATCAGCCACTTCTTCTAATTTTTCGTTTCTTATCTTTATATTCGCTCTTTCCCTACTTTTTCTTCCCTTGCATACCAGCATTATAGTTTTACTTTTACTTATTTTCATACAGTACTGATCCAACACCACCACTTTGCGAAGCCATCTTCAGATATGGTGCAGTAAACTGCTTCTAATACATGCATTTGGGCTGGAACAGTACCATCACCAAGATTTTACCTCATAATATCTTCCATTACAGCTTCCAGCACAATCATAAACTATTTCTATTGTGTAACCGATCCGTATTTTAATTTCGTGAACAGATATGAGTGTGGACGGTTGCACTATTGTGAAGTTGGTCATGTACCTAGCTACATGTAAAGAATTTTCCCCATACGTATTCAGAATTTTAAATAATAATTCAGTATAACTACCTAGTTAATTGATAAACATTGTTTGATACATTTGTATGTAATTAAGATTCTCCAGACGTTTAAACAAAACAATAACAATACGAATACCGGGGTAAAAAATCGGTTCACTTCAATCTCATGGTAGAACAATACCCTGGACAATGTTCGTGACGAAATTGGTTCACGATAGGAATGGTCGGCTGATAATCAATTCAAGAACATTTACATAGGTATACGTACGTACGTACGTACGTACAGACGTAATACAAATAAGAGACCAATTAATGATATACTGTCCTATTCATGATGCATAAATTTGTAAATAGTTAATTAATAATTAGCTCTCTGCTAAAGCCGTTTAATAAATCATATTAGAATATAAGTTGTGAGACACTTGAAAGTTTCTACTTTACTTTCGATTTTGTTAAACTAGCAACAATAGTTCGAGTGCTGCTCGCTCTATATCTTCATTCTTATCTACAATCAATCAATTTAACCAGTCACTTGTTACAGAATTTATTGAGTAATCACAAATCTGATTCGGCTGATAGATATTAAAATCAATAATAGATACAGAAAACAATAACACAATTTCTAATAGTTTCGTAGCAGAGTCAACAGGTTAAATTAAACACACATCATGGTGTTTTTTTGGTCTTCAGAATGTTGCTTCATTTGATGTTTAGTCAATTTCTAAAAACGCATTTTTTGTTATCAGACAAAACTAGCTACCTACGACTACTTATCAGTCTATTCTTGCAGCTTTATATGATTGTATATTTTATACGTTGATAATCTTTACGACTACGAGGATATAAGTAATGTTTGACGAAAGATTTGAGGAATAATTTCCGTATTTGCATTTTTTAAACAAATTAAAAACAAAACGATTTAATTTTAGACTCTAGAATTAAGTTGTAAATTAGAACCTATCTTTTTTTTTTAATAGTAACAATCTAACTAACCAAAAAGCGAATTAAATAAGTCGCATTATTAAAACCAAATTGCACTTATTTCGATGTTTTTGTGACGATAACAATCGATAAATCTTATCGATAAAATAATCAATATAAATGTACGATTATTTTACGAATAATTAAATATTACCGTTGGAGAACGGTAAAAGATCGAAATATTTTGAAAACTTATCGGATGGAGAGACATTCTTTCCTAAATATGACAGTTTTCCTAATAATGTTACAATTAAATCGTTAAGAAATAAGATGTTTCATTATCAGAGATTCTCATTAAAATTATGAATCTTAAAATGTGAAAATGAAACCATATATAACACATAAGACCTGTGTATAGGTAAGTAGTAACATAATATTGAATTGTCAGTTATTTGGAAAGAAAAAATCGGTAGCTAAGGATCATAAATAAACATAGAATTTGGAGCACTGCCGTCGAATGTATAATATTTACCTTGGATGCCTGGTCTTTATCAGTCCGATTACTTATCATTATCAATGTAGGAATACAGGAAAACACATGTAAAACATAATTGTACGTGTCGCACTTCAAATGACACATATTCAATAGTCTTTATTTGAACATCTTTAGTTCTCATACATGTACGGACTAGATGTGTACCTTTTTGAACAAGTTTAAATGTGTACTTACGTACATGCATACATCATGCAAACATGCCAGCTGGCAGAAAAAATACCGAGCGTTTTGTTCCTTTGAAGTTTCGAAATAAATTTTATTTGTAAGAGAAAAAAAACAACTAAAAAACTTACTTGTTTCGAGAAAACGGCAATGTCTTCGTTGAATGACTCCGACGAACAAACGTCACCACCAGCTACGCCAGGCTCTCTAGGGGTACACGTCGCTAACTCACACTTTTCAAAAATTAACGCTAACAGAGGAAATAGAGGGTGTCTGAAACAAAGAAAAAACAAGTATTTAGATATTTTATTTTTTACGTAAAGTGTAGCATGATTTTTACCGGTTATTACGACGTCGTTGTACACGATAATTATTTTTATTTTTTACGTAAAGTGTAGCATGATTTTTACCGGTTATTACGACGTCGTTGTACACGATAATTATTTTTATTTTTTACGTAAAATGTACATGATTTTTATCGGTTATTACGCCGTCGTTGTACACGATACTTATTTTTATTTTTTACGTAAAGTGTAGCATGACTTTTATCGGTTATTAAGACGTCGTTATACCCGATACTTATTTTCGTTGTTGTTAGTGATTCATTTATAAAATTTTTATGGATTACGGACAAACCGCCACTGTACACATATTATGTACACAAATGCATAAAAACGATGCATGGTTCAATTTACACGAATGCGTTCAAGTGCCGTCTTTGTGAACCATGAATGAGCGTCTGTCAAATGGCGCGGCGCAAGACGCCTTCTTAAATGTACCGATTTATTTACGGCATGTCATCTTGGATAATTTACGGGTCAAGGCGTGAAGACAGCGTAGCGCTACGCCGGACCAACTTGAATATGCTCTTCTGATATGCCAACGAATATCATCCCGTTCATTTACGACATTTTCTCAACTTACGCAACTTTATCTTGTACAGTCGGATCAATATTACCGCATAAAGAGCACTATCATGGTATTTAGAACGTCATCCGAGAGCCTATTGCCAGTAGCGACCCTGACAAATCAGAGCATTCATTAAGGATTCTGGAACTTAACTGCAGAACATGAACACTGTCAATAGCACGCTTGACTATGTAGAGCGCTGCTGGATTGTTAGAAATGTACCTACTTCAAAACCATTTAAATTCGTGCCTGACATTTTAGAGCACTATCGCATACAGAGGTAAAATTTTGGTACGAGAAAGATTTAAACTGTCGTAACGCGCCTGATAACTATCGATAAGAGCATCTTAAAGTGCAGATCGTATCGCTACAACACTCAAGCAATCAGCAGCGCTTCTGACAATTTTGAGCACTATCTGGGTATCTAGAACGCCATCCGAGGGCATTTCTATTCCCAGTAACGTGTCTGACAAATCAGAGCACTATTAGCTAAACCTCAGAACTTTTATATTGTCAACATAACGCCTGACAAGCACTTCTGGATTGGCCCAAAACGCACCCCGCGAATATTTAAGTTGTGAACAGTGTATTAGTAGCGTTCCTGACAATTTGGAGCACGATCAGGGTGTCTCAAAAGTCGTGCGAAAACATTCAATTGTCACTAACGTGCCTGACAATTCTGAGCATTGCTCGACTGGCTGAAACGTTCAGAAATCATTCCAATTGTGAACAACCTGCCTGATAATTTAGAGCACCATCATTTACAGAGGTACAAATTCTACGCGAAAGATCTGGTCGATAACGAGCCTGACAACTAGCGATAAGAGCACCTTAAGTGCATATTATACCGCTACAAATTTCAGGTTATTGGTAACGTTCCTGACAATTTAGAGCAATAAAAGGATGTCTTATATGTCGTCCGAAAACATTCAATTGTCACTAACGTGTCTGACAATTCTGACCATTGCTAGACTGACTGAAACATTCAGAAATCATTCAAAATATGAACAACCTGCCTGACAATTTAGAGCACTATCCTATACAGAGGTAGAAATGGTAAGTTGACAGCTAGCGATAAGAGCACCTTCAGTGCAGATTTGACCGTTACAACTTTCAGGTTATTAATAACGTTCCTGATAATTTAGAGCAATATCAGGGCGGCTCAAATGTTGTCCGAAAACATTCAATTGCCACTAACTAATCATTTAAATTGTGAATAGCCTGCCTGACAATTTAGAGCACCATGAGGCACAAATGGGACTTAAATTGACTATAACGAGCCTGACAACTAAATATTAGAGCACCTTATGGTATGGATGGTACCGTAATAGTAGGGCGTCTGACAATTTAGAGCACTGCTGGACTGTCTCAAACGTACCGATCCAGAACCGGAGAACATTCATGTTGTCTGGGGTATTTTTCAGCGCTTTAAGAGCGTACATTTGATATAAACAATATAGGAGAACGGACTTGTTACTTGTAGTGTTTTTAGAAACGTAGGCTAATAAAAAAGTAAAAACCTATTATAAGGTAAATGAAAATATTATAGGTAGTTTAGTGTATTGAACATTATTCCTTTTTCTTGGAAGGAATTCGCGTATCAAAGATGATTGTACAATGACAAAAAACAAAACAGAATTGTTTATTTAAATTGGAACAACTTTTCCATAACGAAAATACAGTGTCATTTAAACCAACATTGTCACTAACCTGTTGATTCAGCAGACGGTGGTAAATCATTCGGTATGTTATCTGTGTTTGTCAACTACTGGAATTGGCCCAATTGGCATAAGTATCTTAATTCAAGAATACAATGGAATTTACAAGAATATTAACAACATAAAGAATGCTAAATAATAAATAGCGAGTACACGGTGCAATAAAATGGCATTTTTAAAAGTATTACCTGTAAATATTGACATGAATTTTAAGACAAACGCTTCTATTTGTTATTACGTCAAGTCAGATGAAAACCTTTCATTTGTTCTTCTCCATTGTACACACAGTAGGCATGACATGTATTTAATGGCACGGCAAAGAAAATATTGACTTTATTCCCACCTGACAAGAAACTACTACACATACGTACTTATACAACATTTTCTATAACATGAATTACAATACCATGAAACCATTCTACAGAAAACCTCTGATTTCTAGAAGTTTAATGATCATTTTAAAATTTTTTCGAAACGAATGAATATAAGTTAGATATAATTATTTATATGTCCCCTCCGCTCGGTCTTTCGTGGTCGCTTAAGTCTTTTCAAGTGACATTTTCTTCTGCTAGCAACTACCTACTAAGTATCGAATAAATTAACAAGCTGGTTAAGTCATAAAATGAATACAAATAATAACGGCAGTTAACACGTCGCTGTCAAGTACCACCTGATAATTCAATACAAACAGTGAAACCGTGCTTATGTTTAAATACGTCCAGTCTTAAGGTAACACACACACACACACATACACGTAAACTGGACACTGGAGGCACGAGTCAATATTGTTATTGAAAAGTTGTCGACCAACGAACAAAAATGAATGAAGGAGAGTGCCATGCAATGGCACTTACAACGAGGAACTGCAACTAGATTCGTCAATGTCAACAATACCAGAATCAGTTAAGTACAAGTAAATCCTAAATGAGAATAGTATTTAAAACATGTCATTTACTTTGAAAATTGATGAATTGTGACGATATGTAAATGCAACCAACTGTACACACGAATGTAGACATTTAAACCCGCTCGTTTCTTTGCAATTGTTTAGTTCCTGCCATTTTCGTACAGTAGTACATCTGAGAGATCGATAAACATGTATAACGTAATGAACACTATCAGTAGCAAAGTGCTTGGGTCCCTCGATATCCGTTATAGAGAGTGCACACAGTATTGTAGACAACAATGTTTATTATTATAGTCGAATATTTCACTGTCGAGGTCATTTAGCAGTAATAGCGACGCCGGAACTTCCTGGTCGGCACACGCTCGTAATAAATAATACCTATTAGTACATCAATCTTTTGCCCGTTAAGACCCAAACAAGTCAATCGATTAATTTGAATGTCAACGACAAGACGACAATACAGCGATCATTCCGATAGTCGTTTAGTTCCATCGAACAATTCGACGACAGTGTAAAGCGATATTACCTGCAACCATCGGATCTATGTGTGTATCAATGAGTAGAGTGTGTATTGTGTAAATTGGTGGACGTCGCAAATTTGTATTCGAGGGGGTACGCGGGCAATTATTTAAAATGCGCGCGGCGTCCGGCTATAAATTATATTAGAAGAAAAAGATGGAATTAAAAGCGGCAAATGTATTTTTAAAACGCGCCACGCAGCATATGCATAAAGAATTTTATTCATTCCGTTTAGGTGTGAGCGACAAGCCTGCGAGCACCTTCGACTTACTATACGCACCTGCAGTCTGTAAGTCTGTTGTCTGACTTGAGCAATACTATATAAATATATGCACGCTAAGCTAAAAGCTTTATTACGATGAGCAAACGGCAATCATTGGCCTACATAAACTACCACTGTAGGCCATCAGGCAATAATGGATATGAGAAAAAGTGAAATTCGGCGTTTCAAAAACCACGAAGACTAGAATCGAGCCGATGTCTTTCCGAATACAAAATTATTATCCAAACCTCTAGACCACGCCGAAGACGGTCGCTAGTAAAGGCGAGGGATTGTTAGTTACAGAGTACCTATCCATTGGTTCCTATGTAGATTAGATTAGGTAGCAAGACTGGAAAAAGTTTTGTACCGAAGTACGCACATGAACTTGCTTGTAGATATATTAACAATTTTTAAAACTTCAAATTTGTCTGCAAGTTGCGCTGAGACTTCTTTATTAATTAAGTTCGCGATATCGTCTATGACACTTAACACATGCTTTTCAGTTCCTATTGTTAAACGATGATGGAAGCAATTCGAAAGCTAAAAATAGCGCACGTTTAAGTATACATATATTGTATAAAAATTCATATGTATGTACACATTATAAAACATCTCGCCTGACAATTCTAATTAACTCCCATGAAACGAATAACGACCATGCATGCATGAATGCATCCAGTCGAAATAGAATCGAAATCTGCATTTTGTATTCGCATAATTAACAAAATCCAGGGACGAAATTCGGGATAACATGTTTTTTTTTTTCAACTCACCCGTATATGGCGTCCTTGTCTCTCTTACCGACGTCCGGGACGGCCGCGCCGCCCATGACATGGTTGGCGGCGGGACTGATGTGGTTCTGATGGTACGGGTGTATCCCGTGGTTGAGGTGCGGCGAATGGTGGATGCCTTGCAACCCCGGCCGGTGCACGTGTGTGTCGTATAAACCACCAGCCGCCGCCACCGCCGCCGCCGCTGCCGCTCCACTCTCCATGTAACCTTGGTGATGAAGGCCTCCGTCCTCATACTGAAAAGAAAACAAAAATCAACTCAAAAACGGCAAAGAACCATTAAAAAAAAAAAAAGAATTACGACTCATCTAATTAAAAGTCAAATGATCCGAGATTCGACGAACGCCGTCTAGGTGTCACCTTCCTATGTGCTCGTCTTCGGAAGACAATGTAGAACCAGCCATGGTAAGAATTAGCACACTTTTCCAAGAAATCGCTTTATTGACCCACTAATTTTAATTCAAATCAAAACTGGGCTTCTCATCACATAGCCTAATACGATTAGAAATTACACGTTGAAAAACCTGACAGCAAATTGGCTAGTCCATTCCTATTAAAACTACAACTAACTCCACTTCAGAGGTGTAACATACATAATTATTTAAAAAACACACAATAGAAGTGTGTGTGTGTGTGTGTGTGTGCTGGATAATATGGACATGTAAGAGACCATCACAAACGTCAAAGACTCACTCCAGTGTAACGTCGAAGAGAAGAACCGGTCGCACGACCTTTCGAGAGAGATATCGACCAACACGGAATTGATCAAATTTCCGAAAACAACCGAATGAAATCGATTATAAAAGAAACTCGAAAGTGTACTCATTTTTCCACGTATACATATATATGGTTCATGATAAGTGAAAAACAAAACAGTAAGGGGTGTGATAATAAGCTATGCGAAAAAATTAAAAATATCTCATCGCAGGGTCTAGTGGCTAGGCTTTGGAATAGTAAAATCAACAACTAAAAGAACAAACCAATATATATCAATTAGGTAAAGACTTTTCACGGCCAGTTGGTGAACTGATACTGTCGTGATTCAGGTTTAAAGGCCACCAGAGCACGAGTGGCGAGCTTCTGCAGAATGCTGGATGTCCACATATAATATGAACCGGAAGGACCTTTGTAGAAGCTCGCCACTCGTCCTAGCGAAACGCTAGGAAGCAAACCAATGTATAGTTTACAATTCCTACGAGAAAGCTTGATAAGATTACTGTGGCGGGACTAACTCAATGGGGGAACGTTTTGGAAAAAGTACAAATGTGACAGTCGTTTTTTGTATAAATGTCAAAACACCTAGTTAGTTAGTCTTGTAATACACCTCTGAAATTACAATTTTTCTTTCCCAATTAGATGGGGTTCACCAATAACGTGCCTAAACAAGTTCAACACGCTCTTTCCATCTCCGATGGATGGAAAAAAGATACTATTGACGGTAGCATTGTTTTCAGTCCCACAGAGATTGAGTTGTTAAAATATTTTCGATTATAAGCCGATTAGTTTCGGTGTTAGAACAATGAGGAAGCAAAATCACGGCTTGAAGAAACAAACGAAACACTTACGTATATGAATACCTGTGTGCAGCGACTACATGCACAGTTGTTATTAACTGATATGCAGCAGCAGGTTGTAGAAACAATACTACATTATTTGAATATATTCTTGGCAATCAATCAATAACCGAATGATGAAAATCAATGAAAAAAAAAACAGGCAAATAATGATATTTATGCAAACCATTGGAAAATAAGATAAAAAAAATACAGATACCTGCCTGCATAAGAAAAATATCTTTCCTTAAGCCCGTGTTCATCAACGTACACATCAATCATTAGCTGATATAGAATCGAGGTGAAATACATATTTCAACCACATTAATAAACCTGCATGTCCGCGTATTGTTTTAATCGTAAGTTACGTGCCTGATTAACAAATAAAAGAACGAAGTGCAACTGATATCGTTGGACGTGAACACTTTCGTTTATCAGCTTCTACTGATTCGAAATGGTCGATAACGAGTGTTGTAATTAACTATAAGGTAGTAAGATACAATTTACAAACAGTGCCTACGTAAATGCGTGGACCAATCAATTTAAAACAATTGTTTTATTAAAAGAAAAACTTTGTATTTACCAGCTTCGCAGCCGATGGTTAATGGTTTTTGAGTCAAAAAATAGAAACGATATTACAACTTAAAAAGATTCAAAACGTTAATGGACCACAATTTCCTTCATCATCATACGGTCGTCATTCCAAAAACCCTAACTAGAACATCCCACATCTTTAACTACCAATTTGTGAACAGTAATCTTTTCTAGGTCTACCTCTATTACTCAACTCCTGTTTCTAGTATGTATCTCGTCAGCTCTTCATGCCTGAGAAGGTATCCTACCAACCTATTTCTCATTGCCTTCCACAGAATCCTCACTTTTCCTACTCATTTCTAATCTTCCCACACATGCTTCTTTTCTTTGCCGCAGCGTCCACCATTCACGTTTCGCACCTGTACAATTTTACCATCAAGACTCCTTTCTCTCCTAAGACTAGAAAATCCTGCATCCCCAACTATCGCCGAATACCATAGTACCTAATATAGGTAATCTAGGATTTTCTGTGTTTCCTGTTTCTTCTTCTAATATGTCTTTAACTGGCCGTTTCTGGTTTAGAAGGTGCCCCATGTTTTTTTCTCTTTATTCATTTCTGTTCCACTTTTTCCAATATTCATCATTTCTAGCTTTTCTAGCCACTATATTCTCATTGTCATATTGTTAAAAATTTTTAAAAATTTACGCACTTTTATGAATGAATCTCACTAAAATCTTTACTGAGAATGGAATTGACGACAGCCCTTTGGATAAAACGATATCTTCAGATACAATAAGGACTGCCAAACCTCATAAAATATGCTTTACAAACAATGCAACGTATACATGCTATACGTTTTATCAATCAGTTAACTACGTATACTACGAAATCTGTGAGTGCTAAAAACAAAGAGTTTCTTCTATGATGATTTATTTATTATGGCGCCAAGAAAATTTAAACGTGGTCACCTGTTTATTAACTTTTGTAGGTAAGTAAACAAGAAACGAGATAAACCCGTAACATATTTTTTTTATCGCTGATAAGATACAACAACCACATGCATATGTCTGTGTCAATGTAGTTTGCCAATTTATTGTTGAACAAATACAGGTATTGCAATAAGGACACTCAAGATATTCCAATCACTTTATTGCACTGCTCCGTAAAATAAAGATTGGAATACCCTATCCCAATATTACATCCCTAACATTACCTTTTCCACGCCCTTAACTACATTAAGTGGTAATGACGAATAGAAGGACATAAATTTATCCTTATAGTAGTAGGTATCGAGAATTATTTGCTTATTTCTTCTAAAAGATTACTTCATAACTACCGCAATAAAATGGAAACAATATCCTAGGGATGTCACTATATTTTCCCCGATAGAATAAGCCTTGTATGTATATTTTATAATAAATTGTAGAGTATAGGGCTACTAACAAGAACATGAATTTGGGCTATCGTCTGTATATCATATTAAAATTAATTCTGGAGTATACGATTGTCAGGCGATTAAGAGCTTTGGCTTACGAGATTGAAAAAATAACTATGATTTCCACGACACGAAAATCCATAGCCCTGCTAATTTCCCTTCGGCTACAACAACAGCAGGTATTCCAAAAACTACAAAAGCTATGCATGGAGTTCTTTGTGAAGATTAGTTTCCTGCAAGACTGAGCCCTTTCAAATGACCTGCCATATAATAAAAAATAAAGTAAAATAAATAAAGAAAAACCTGCACCAACTAAAATTATCAAAAAAGTATCTACTGCTAATGTGAGTTACAACTATTGGAAAATAATATGATTCAGTAACCATGAATAATTACCGTGCTAAATCATCTTTCTGAAAAAGACTGTCAGATGATGTGAATGACTTTATAAGGGTTCGTTTTTCCTTTTGAGATACATAAACTACAACACAATGTCACGAATATGCTTATTATAATACCTATAATTGATTTCGATGAGATGGCGCCAATTTGGACTTGTTAAATGTTACAAACGATCCTGCCCATTCATTATAAATAAATGTACTACACATTTATTCACACATATGTATCTAACTCACTCTCTCATTTGACATGGCACAACACACTATCCGTCCACATTATGACTGTCTCATGGTAATGAAGTGACATTAAAACCATTGTATACAACGGCAATCTACATTTTTCGACAATAATTCTTCAAAATTCGAGAGAGCACGGGCGTTTGCGCACAACATACAATTGCAATAAATAACAGCGTCGGTGGTTGCGACGCTTCGCGACGCGACGAGTATTATTATGAAAAGCGTCGGCGGTGTCTTCACTTGTGCTTTTGCAAAAATAATTGCAGATAATATTTTAAAACGGCACTTAATTCGTATGAAACAGAATTTCATTTTATACAACCGACACGACGTGAGATGCTTCAGGTGCAGATGAAAATATTAAACGACCCGACAAAAACAATATTGCTTTCTTTTACGCTCAAAAATTTATTACACAGTGATCTCGCTGATATATTTAGGTATTTGATACAAAAGATACATTTGATACAATTGTCGCCTATTTTTGAAAAGAAAATATGAATGAAAATTTATATTTTATTTATGGTCATAGTATTAGAACCGTATTAGGCATATACATAGGCTCTTTAGTCCAAAGACGGGTGAGTTACGCACTTATTTCCGAACAGTAATCTAAGCATTCTTCTTCATTTTTACTTCCGTTTATTGCTTCCAGAAGATATGTCTCTAACTTAGTCTCAGAACGGGTACTGCCATCCTAATATCTATAACGTCCTCCTCCGTTTTACCGCTTCTCTTCATTTCTGGCCTTTACTTCCACTGCATTTTCACCTTGTATGTACTCATTTATTCATAATCATGATAAAGTCTTCCGTTCAAAGACTGGTTGCACACACACCTTCACTTCTTTCTATCCCTATTTGCGAACAATAATCTTATCTAGGTCTTCCTTTATCCTTCTTGCTCCTATTGCTGCTTCTAATATGTCTTAAGTGTCCCTTATATCTGAGATGTTCTACCAACCTATTTCGTCCATTTTTTATTGACTTCCATAACGCCCTCTGTACTCTTTCTCTTTCTAACATCGTACAATTCGTAGCGTGGAATGAACGAAGAGTTAAAGAATGAACTAATTCGATCTGCAACCTGTTTAAATACTCTCTCTACGCATACAACGGACAGAAAATAGATCAGAAATAAAATTAAGAAAAGGTAAAGCAACTGGTAACTGAAACTATGTACGTACATAAAATTATTTCTGCCCAAAAACCATTTCAGATGTGGGTAGACGTTCGCACGTGGGTTCATATATCATAAAGATAATAATGAAATAGCCATTTAGCAAATTCTAACGTTTGCAATAACCTTTGTTTCAGTACTCAAACGATTCGTTTTAGTACCGCCACGACACGTTCGCGCGTTTTACGACACAAGTACCTATACTTACAGTAGCGTGGAGCCTACACTGCTCCACTATATCCACCATTAAAACCCCTTCAAAATTGACTCCTCTTTGGCACAAGCTTTTAAGCACATTTACTGCAAACGAGCATAGCACAAGATCAGCTGTCACACTATGTACGAACATGAATTTATTGCTTGAGGAACGTGGTTTTTTATTAAGGAAATTAATAATTTCGCATTTTTGGAGCACCTAATTTTAAATGAAAGCAGGTCAATCAACTTTTAGCCGTAAGATGAACAAAGCACACCACCACAGAAGAAAAACGTATCATCAGGAAGTTTCATTATGAGAAGCTTCCAGAAATAATCATGGAGATTCCTTCAGCGTATAAATAACTGACCAACATCCGACGGAATATACTAGTTGATGCGAGAAAGCTTATATCAATAGTGCGCGATAGTAAATTCCGTAGGATTGAGGATTCCTAATCAAGAATTAGAAAAACGAGAACTTCCTCCCTTTACATAATACTGTAGTCTCCTTTATAAGTACAGCAAGAAATAGTAGTTACAGGCAAGTTTAAGAAGGATATAAAAGTACGACTTGAATAATTTACCATGTTAAAAAAACAAAAAAAACGAAATTGAAAGTAGGTAGCGTTTAGGTAGGTAGCTCGAGGGGCGTATCTATATAGGTCTGTAGGTATTGTTACAATCAACGTTTTATCAGTGACTTATCAGAAAAATTTGGTAAGCAAATTAACTCATAAAAGCCAAACCACGCATTTGAGCCCGTCCAACAAACGGCAAAGAAACAAAAAGCAATCGCTCGTCGAACGAACGGGGACGACTTAATAACGGCAATCGCGAAATTATACAATAAAGAGGTTCATAGCCTGCTGCGACCGATTAAAAAACACCCCTTCGTTCGAGGAAGATCGTAAACTTGTTGGCCGAACTATTACAACCATTCAGCTTTCACGAAACCATATTTCTCGGATTGTCGTCTAAAATTATAATGCCCTAAAGTTACGGCTCATAAAACTTTACGGTCGCTGTTATACGATTGTCTCAATAAATAGTTCACTTTATGGACACCTCTTCTGGCTTTTTTATTTTCCTTTACTCTATTCACTGTTACAGAGCACACGGTACACCACATTAAATACTTTTTAACAAATTTACTCTTTCGAAAATTGTAGGTGCCTATCCCCGCTATAGCACGGAAATAAGCAAAACGATTTGCTTTCCACTTCAATGTCCGGTAATAATTATTAGCAACTCCTAACGAAAATTCAGCCGAAGAAAACAGAGGATAAAAACGTAAACACTGTGGCAAGTAATAGCCTATAAAATTAAAACGCATTAAGACTATTCTTCTAGGATAAAACTATGCGACATTTGCCTTCTAAGTAAGAAGGTGAAACTGCACCCCGAACGAATTTAAAAGCATTTGATTCGGCACCCAGTAAGTGTGTTGTATAAATTCCTAACGATAAGTAAATCCTTCTAAACTATTTACACTCGTTATTTCTCTCAAGAAATCATTTGTGAGGGTCATTGAACTGAACTATCCTTCGAAAGGACATACACGACTTATTGTTTTCGCTATGACCAATTCTCCTAATAAAGAAAGACAAATCTTGAACACCTTACCTTTCTCATTTTCATCAAACCAAATAAAATCTCGTCATACACAAGAAAAGATAAACCTTAGAAAATAAACCACTAACGGGCACCACTAATATTTTATAGATAAACCAACTGGCTTTTATATCTTTTTATTATTTATTAAAAACTGTCGAGCTTCACTAAAATGCGCCTCGAGCAGCTAGTAGCTTGCTGGACGTCTCGGCGGTTACCGCAGCGTAGTAATCGTTAGCATTATAAAAATACCATGATCAACAACACCCACAGACACTGTTTAATGGCCACCTAACGATCCATCAGGATTTCACAAATTCCATCTCGTTTAGCCTGCCCTGGCTCACTTCAATATTTATTCATCGTCGTTGGCTAATGCCCGGCTGTCTATAATTTCTCAATAATGTTAATTTATCAACATAAAAGTCTTCGGCTGTACAGAAGCCTCTTTACATTGTACCTCTACGTAGGTAAGCCGTAAGCCATCCATACGTAATAACCATAACTCATGGCCGACGGACACTTAGATATGATATATGTATGTGTGTGAGTATAAAAAGCACTGGGATGAAGATCATTTTCCACATTCTTCTAAATTTCTTTCGTAATTATTAAATATGTGTCTGGATGTTTCAACGTATCTCCTCAGCCTTGCCCTTCTTCCGTCGGAACCACATTTTCCATCTCATGGACTATGCTCCTTTCTCAAAAATTGCCTTTCGATTATGGATTCCTTGACATGAACCCGTAAGCTCTCTGGATTTCCCAGGAAACAAAATGAAATGAGATACAGGTTGATTAATAAGGATTGTAGAGATTCGCTCTTTGAATCATTTATGTTAGTTTTGTATGTGGTTTCTTACATTCCTATCCGACGGATGCTGTAGTTAAATCGTTTCTGAGATCGTCAATTTAAATCCCCCTGGCTTAGGGTTCGAATGTTTCATGGAAAGGACAAAAGAGGTGCTGTAGATGACAAGCAAACGAAACACAATTTTATTTCTACCAACAGCATTGCTAACAGAAGTAAGTTCAAAAGAAACAAATATAGTCCACTTTCAACCAAAATTCGTCCAATATATATTTCTTCTTCTAATGTTTTCAGAAATTATCATTGGTATCATTCACAGCAATGTTTCATTCATTCACTCGCATTCACAATTATTCGATAAACCTTCTTTTCAACATTACATTCACACCCTCAAGAACACAGCTTTTAGTCTTACGGCTTCACCCAAACTATTTGTCTAAGTCGAAATCCTTCAGCTATATTCCTAACCATAGGTACCTGTCTACAAAAGCTCTCGATTTGGTGCAATGCATCAATTAGAAAAATGAGCTCATAGACACCTGACGGTTATCATTTTCACGTTTTCTGTAGGTCTTGTGCCTTGGCAATCAGTATAATTTTTGGAAGCGGTCATTACTAACGAACTAATCGTAAGCGGTTCCGAAGCGATACGTCCGATACAACGATAAGTACACATGGCCGCCGTCGGCGTCAGCTGAATGTTTAGAATACCTCGATGATATTCAGAAAGCAGGCTGACTGGCATTTTCGAGCAACATATTATACTGTGTAATCAGCCAGGGTATCTGAATGCCCGGCCAAAATGCAGTCTCATCACTTTTAAGAGAATTAACAGGGCTGGAGTTCTGAGCAGAATTCTAAACTGTAATTACAGACATGCTCGATCCTTGGGAAGCTTTTAAGGGGAATAATGTGGTGGACAAAAGCTTCTACCGTCCGTATCCGATCACGTCGCCAAATTGGGAACTACTACAAACATTCACCTAGTAACAGAGTCCACATTTCTTCAAAGATTCTTAGATTATCTAAAGGATTTAACTAACTGCTGCCATTAAGCCTGGAGTCAATATACAGAACCATCATCAACATTCATGGACCTTTGAGATTCAAGGAGTTTCTTCGTAGGAAATTTTGGCACAAGCATCAAAGTTAAGTAGGTATCTGACGTAAGATAAGTTAGATCATGTTACCATGAAGAAAGATCATTATGAAGTAACGATGGGCATATTCCTTCTATCATGAATATAGAATCAAATGGAAAAAGGTACACATGGAGTAACTTTAGTGAAGAATTTTCCTGAATTTATTCCAATACATGAATAATAAATAATGCTACTAAAACCGTATCGTAGCTAGTTTGTGCGTTGTTTCGAAGCGGATAGGGCGTCCAGGATTGAATCATGGAACGTACGGACTTTAGTTCGCGTCTAATGAAGCGAATCGTTTGAAATATGAATAACAATGAGGAAAGTAATGTAGCAGACGTACGAAATGCATGGCATCAAAATACAAGAGTGGTAAGTGGGGCGAATTTGATTGATAGTTGGGGTTGCTGGGTATATGTAATTCCGGTCCGCCCCATGTCATCCTCGAAATGATTAATCACGGCCCGCTAAAACTGATCCCTAATCCACTTATTTAAAAACGGAGGACATGTTCTCATACAATTTTTGGAGGGAAAATGCAAAGAGCGTTTCCACATGAACCGATACACTGCTTACTTCGCAGGTTTACGCAAACAATTCTGTCTCCTGTTAGAAGCGCGAAGGACTGACTGACTGACTGTGTTCATCGATCGCTGGATCCTTTTAGCATTCGTTCCAAAGAAGTTTTGATGTTCTTTTAGTGACTGGGGGTTAGACTAATACTAATCCAACTTAATAAAGAAAACAAGGTGCAACCCTGGGAGGGTTGGAGACGGATCCCATATAGATATAGTGATATCCATTTCGCGCCCTTTTTGGCGGGAAGACCAGAGACCTTATGAGGTCGATTTTAGTGGTGCCGATGTCGATCCTGATAGGAAGGTGAGCACTTTTTGGCGCCAAAGAAGGACCTACCCGTGGCTGAGCCATGAACGCCCTGCCAGCCGCCGTCAAGCCGGGATAGTCTGCGTGTTGGGCCACCGTTACACCGAGTCACTAGTCACTTCACTGCACATGTACGCGGGCCCGGGCCCTTAGTCACTTCACCCGCGCCGAAGCCGGCTCACATCACACGTAGTGCACCTGGTGCGAGATCGGATCAGTTGATGCTGTTGCCCTTTACGACCGAACGCGTGCGGAGATCCTGCGCGATCCGCAGTCGTCTGCCAACTGTCAATCACAGCCGTCGGCGGGGGCAGAGTGGGGCAGATGAATGATCTGTCATTCGTGGTACGCCTCTCGACCAATGGAAATCCCCGAGACGCGCCAGCGCCTTGGCAACAAGGCGCGCATTGCTGCCATCATGCGTTGCGCTTGGCAGCACTGCGCTGTTGCCTAAACACAACGATGCTTCTGCAGTTCTCTAATTCTACTACGTTCCACGTACGAATGGCAGACTGCTCCTCTTGATACACAAACATACATACATACATATACGTTATTATTAATTCACATTTTATGGAAACCATGTACCCTATAGATCCGATTTTTGCTACTTCATCCACTGCCGCATCAGTATAATTAGTGGATGTATAGTACCAAAGCTGCATATAGTGAGTGAAGGGTGCGTTTCTCCCTACGCTAAGCGCCTTTGATTTACAAGCGGTCACAGTGAAGAAAAGCTTCACTGAAGTCTTGCAGATCTTCGGACAGTTTTATTGGCGATCTTTATTAGACATATATTTATTATCTACCCTTATATGAAGAACTTTTATAATTTATGACTTAGAACTTTTAGCTACTTAACTAAAATAACGCTTTGACAAAAAATACCTATTCTTAAAAAATGAGTGAGTAATTAACTGATTTCTATAAGGACAAACAGAACGAGAACAGAAGCAATATATTAATAATAATATTAATTTACCTTTGTAAATATGATTTTTTTAATTGAATTAATAATGAAATAATAGGCCATATTTACACGTAAGCAAGCGTGTACGTAACATGCAAAGTAGAAAACATTTGCGATAAAGGTCATAGGAGACGTTGTCAGACTTTTGGTGTGCAAGGTTTCTAGAAAGGGTTAATTAGTTTTGCATAGATAAAATTCGAAGATAACAAGCTCGTTATGAATCATAGCTATGTAAGAAATTGGCATATATGCGTGGCATTAAATTAGGTGCAATTAAAACGAGTGACTCGGTAAGAAAGTTAAGCAATTTTGCAAAATGTCGTCAAGTGCACTGTCTAAATGCCTTGAACGGTAATTATTTTTTCTGTGAACTACGTGGTTACAAGTAAATGTGTAAATTATCTTAATAACAATTTACAGACAAATATTTTCAAATAAGAAATATTCTACCTGCGCATTTGTAGTAATAAGTAATGCGTGATACCTGCAGCCATAAGGATAAACCGTATAATTACATGTACCTATCATGTAATTAGAAATAAAAGTTTTGGCACTTAATACCTACCTACCATTTGATAATTACACTTAAACATTTCCAGTATCAAAAACCTGGTAACTTTTGTACTTTTCATTTATGTTTAAGAGGGTAATCAATTACACTCATGTCGTAGTTTTTTCCCAGAAAAACATATCGAAATCTAATTTTCCGACGGAAGTAAACGATATACAATAATCCGTTAATCAATCTTTACTAAAAATAACGACAGTAGACAATTAATAAATTTTTAAAAGGGATGAACTATAATAAAATCAAATTATGCGGAGATAAGCCGTCACTTAATAAGAGATACAATAATCCCCTTCGACATAAATGATGCATTTGTATACATCAATCCCAGTACAAACTATTATTACATACCAGGTATATTGATACTACCCACTACCTTCATTTGATAGTATTTCGCGACCGATTAGAGGATTAGATTACATATGTTATTCGTTTGGAGTAAAAAGGCATTAAAAAAGTTTCTGTATCCACGACGAGCAAGCATTACAAAATAGTGACGATGGTGTACAATTTACTGTAGTATCAGTTAGATTTAGACAAATTGACTTCAAAGAACAGGTTGTAAAACAATATATCTGATAGCAGCCACCCTTAATAGTATTACGTTGGTACATAGGGGTCACAGTTCTAACCGCATCTCGCCCAACAGCCTCTTTACAAAGAAAGCTCTGCGAGTCATAAAGGATGTAATAAACAGACTCTGTGGCTGCCTGTGCTTACTGAGCGGCATGACTTAGACGTATAGAGCATTTCTTAGCTTTCAAAAGGACATCGGTTAGTTTCCGGATCTGTCTGCCCCAGTTCTAGTTTTCTGTGATTCCCGTGGATCTTCTTTTCGTCCGACTCATCTTTCCCACTTCAACCACTATCTACACAATCCCACGATTCCTAGAAGGGAGCTGAAGACGATCTTACGCCTTATCCTCCGGCGTAGTCTGGAGGAATTGCCCACCAACCAGCATTAGTAGCTAGTGAAAATAATGCACCCAAATGTTTAAGTTTAGAAGCCTGCGCACAGTACTGTACCAATAAGCCTATCTGGACTACTACTTGACACCAGCTGCTAATGCTGATGGGCGGGCAGAACCTCCAATCTACACTTAGTCCAAAGTTGGGGAATAAGGCGGAAGGCTTCTTTTTAGGAATTGTGAAAATGGGTGGTGGTGGTTAGATACGCATGAAATGAAGACAGGAGATTATCAATGGAATATTGTTATCACAGCATTGAATAAATGATCAAAACAGCATACAGACGAGCATAGATCATTCCCCTCATCTGTCGCTTATCGAGACGTCCGTCCTTAGATGAAGGATCGGACTGCACACATAGATGTGTTTCACAAAAACTGCTGATTCAGTTGTTTCGTTCTACTTTTACATCTTATTCGATAGATGTATACAGATATGTCTTTTTTACCTTCTAATCGCGTCGCGCCGATGCGGTGGCTTACTAAAGTTGTAAAACATCTGCGGCGGGCGCTATAGCGGCACTGATCGTACGAAGTATCGCTCGTAAAATTGATAAATGAACCACAGAAACGTTGTGATGAATCTGTCAAATGTAGCGCATTGACGGCAACGAACGTTGTCAGGCCAGCAACGTGACTGTACACACCGTCGCGTCCATCAGCTGGCGATTTGCTTCCGATATTTTGGTGCAGGTAGAGAACAGAAGAACAACAACAACAGCGACGATGGAGGAAGAATGACTTTACATACACGGCTTCAGTTTTGCCCCAGCATTTTCTCCTAATAGATATTTACGTTTTTACCTCGGCAGAATGTCTCACAAGCAAACATTTATTCTAACAACTCAATTCACTCAACAAATACTCATGTATAATACGTATACCTACTCGTATCTTTGGAAATTCATTAATCATAATATTCGCCAGTTCAGCTGCGATATAGAGTACAAACGCATTCGTTAAATGATTATCAAGTTTCAACACCTAGTAAATTTTCTGGCTGATGATAATATCCTCATGTCTAACATTAAAATCCAGGTTCTCTATTTTAGTCACTTTTTGACTCCCCTACGCCGACATGGTCTATTATGGTATTATCCCAAGTTTCGCCCTTCTCCCTTTAGAACAACGTGGCCTTTTTAACATTTTATAATACATGGTAGGTTAGGTTAGGTTGGAGCACGAGGCAGTATGTCCATGACGAGACTATGGTTGGTCCTGCTTCAAAGCGCCAAAAGTATAGAAACTTCTTTCAAGTCTTTCAGTCATATTTTGTTGAATATCTGGATTGTGTGATCCGTTGTAATTATCAAAATCAAATCCTTCAGTTATAAAGTCAATAATTTTCAAATGCTTTAAGTGTGACTTATTGGGCACATGACTGACCATACAGGTACCTGTTGTCTACTTCCCGGTACAAGAAGGTTATCGACTCCCTGCTAATCTTGTATTATACCTATTAAGAATATTTTTAACAGAAATGCTAATGGTAGCACTAGCACCAGTTGTCACTCCCTGGGTATCTCTTATAATATGCAGGTATAAGAGACATACCTTCGTGCAGAAAAGACATGATTTACAATCGCTGAATCGGCTGGCATATTCGTACATATTCTTAAGCTGTTGGTTCATTTCTTTCCTTGCTGTTGCGGTCAGTAGAAACGGCAGGTAAAACTAGGAAGCGTTTTAAAAGCGAATTAAAATAAATCACAATCCTGATACCCGGCTATCTAGAAAGCAGTCGGGTTTTGTTTTATTTAAATCACGTTGTCACTAATAGAAATTCATACCAGTTTTAATGTTAATTTATTACCGTTTAATATATTGACTTTTTTTTATGTAGGTATCCCATTCCTGGAACATTGCCGACAGATACTCGGAAATGTTCAACAGTCAACACTCCATAAAGTAACCAAAGACAGGAACTCACCTCAGTCCATAAAAGGACAAATTTCACAAATCGTTACATAACTTATTCAACTGAGCAAAAAAAAAGGTCTGGATTATCTAATCAACAATCGAAATCCATATCGGAATAAACAAGGGTGGAAGATAGGATCGGTTAATGGATATTTATTAAGGGACTACTTTTCATAAATTGTTATAATACTGGTTTTAGATTATGTATCTCCCTATTTTACTATATATATCTATTGAAATTTTTACCCGATTACATACCTGTTCAAAAAAAATAGAAAAAATTCGAAAAATGCATTCCAATTGAAAAGTATTTATAAATCCCATTTGTTTTACGTAAACAAACTTAGTATGTAAAGCGAGTAAAAAAATCGTTTTAACGCGCAAAAATATTAACATTCCAAATGTTTCATGTGCTAAACTGAGAATTATTTATTACTTATTCCAAACACAATCGTACAAATTGGAAAAAGGTTACGCATTTATGCGTCACCTAATATCAAGACATTGTGATTTGTCTTGATTGTGAATTCATAAAATGGAATCAAATTTTCCGTGATAGTGAAACATTATTTACTTGAAGTTATAAATTAGTTCTTTAATATGACATTATGGAGTTACCCAGTAAGTGACTCTCCATAAACCTAATGCCTCTATTTTAGCCTCTATTATATCCACTCTCTTCCCCCACATGGTTTTATCCCTGGACGTCTCCTTAGAGCAATGTGGATCTTTTCATCATTTCTGACCCATCCACAAATAAAATTCTATTCACGCCTCTCTTCTTCGGTAGTGCCCATTAGGAGAGGCTACATTTTCAGGCGTTCCAAAAATACAAAAATCTTCTTTTTCTTAACTATACCGCGGTAGACAGAAATCAAC